GTTTTAGCCCCGCTAGCTTTCCCAAATTCTTCAAATGTGTCTAATACTTTAGTGATCGAAGTAAGTCTGGAGGGGAAGAAAGCAGTATCATCAGCATATGCGATTAACTTTCTTTCTCCCGCCCCAGGTACTTGTGTGCCTTTGATACTACTATCCTGCCAAATTTTCTCTAAAATTGGTTCTAGGGCCAAAACGTACAGCAATGGAGAGAGAGGACAACCCTGTCTCACGGATCTTGCGATCCGGAATCCCAAGGTGAGCATGTGGTTTACCAACACCTTACTCTCGGGGTCCCGGTACAACATCTTGATCCACTCTATAAATTTCGGTCCCAGATTACACTTCTCTAAAACTCTAAATAGGTATTTTTGGGAAATTCTATCAAAGGCCTTTTCCTGATCTAAAGAGAGAATGGAGGTTTGGCTATTTGTATGGTGTGCATATTGTATAAAATCTCGTATGAAGTGTGTGTGATTATGAATATTTCTGTCTTTAACACTACATTGTTGGTCTGGATGTATTAATTTGGATATTACTGATCTTAATCTATTGGTTAGTGTTTTAGATAAGATTTTATAGTCTGTGTTAAGGAGGGATATTGGTCTATAATTTTTTAATAAGGTTTTGTCTGTACTGTCTTTAGGTATCAGTGTTATGTATGACATATTAAATTTTGTGGGTAATTGTTGTCTGTTAAAGGTGTGTTGATAGACTTTGAGGAGAAGCGGTCCTAAGATAGGAAAGAAGTGCTGGTAGAATTCTAGTGTAAGGCCGTCAGGCCCTGGTGTTTTATCTTTATTCATTTGTCTTAGTGTCTGTGTGATTTCGTTTAAAGTTATATCTTTTTCTAATGTTTTGTTTTCTGCTTCTGTAATCTCTTTGGAGTATTTTAAAAATATGTCTTGTGTGGTGGTATCTGTGTTTTCTTCTCTAAAAAGTGATTTGTAGAATTCTCCAAAAGCTGCTTTTATCTTTTCTGGGTCTGTTTGCATGTGACCTTGGGTGTCAATTATTTTGTTTATTTGTTTATTTTTTTGGATATTGTTTTCTAGTTTTATATCTTGTGGGTTTGGCGTATTTTTTAAGGGTAGTTTCGTTCTTAGTTGTGCCCCTAAATATTTATATTGTTGAAGTGTTTCTAAATCAGTTTCTAAATTTGCAATACGGGGTGAATTTTGGTTATTTATTTTCATTAGTTTAATTTCTTCTTTTAACATTTTCTCTCTTTCCAGTCTTTTTTTGTGTGTTACGTATGCGAGTCTTTGTGTTCTTTCTCTAACTGATTCTTTGAAAAAATTCCAATAAGTGTCTAAGTTGGTATCAGGTGTGTCGTTGACATAGCCTAAAATGTGGTCTGTCATGTATTCTGTAAACTTTGTGTCGCTGAGGAGTGTGTTGTTGAAGATCCAGTGCATTGGTGTTTTTTGTGTTGGTGGTTTTATATTTCCTATACCTATTTCTGCTATTATTCCTTTGTGATCTGTGTACTCTTGTGTCTCGTCTAAGTGTGTCACTTCTATTATGTGGTGTGTGTTTGGTACGTAAATTCTATCTAATCTAGCTTCGCTTTTCAAGCCTTTATTTGTGTGTGTTGTGTCTGTGCTGTTTGGGTGTTTGTTTCTAAAAGAGTCTGTTAAATCATTTGCTGTTATTATATTTTGTAATGTGTCTAGTTGATTTTGTGAATTTTTGGCGGTTCTTTTCAGCTGTGCCCAGACAGTCCTGCCTTTAACATCCAGGTCTGCCAGGACACAGTTGAAGTCACCTGCTAAAATTATATTTTCCTCTTTAGAGAATGTTGTTATTGTGTCGTTTAATTTTTGGAAAAAAGCTGGTTGGTGGTCATAATTCCAGGGTGCGTGTATATTTACTAACGTGTACGAATAATTATTGTTCGTAACTTTTGAGATGCATAGTTTTCCCGTGTTATCTATATGTGTATCTGTGATTTTCCATCTGTCCGATGTCTGGAGTATGGCTGTTCCTGCTCCTACCTGCTGGTGTGAGAGATTATAGACAGAGTTGGTGAGACCTAGCTGTTGTGTCGTTTTGTTGGCCAACCAGCTTGTGTTGATGTTTGTTTCTTGTATGAGTATAAAATCTGGTTTGTGTTTTTTAATTAATTGTACTATGTGTTTTTGTTTGAATCTGAGTCCTCTTATGTTAACACTTATCAGTCTTATCCTATTCTCCATTTGTCAAAATAAATAAAGGTAATATGATAACAATGGAAAAACAGGCAATACAAGGCTAAATGTTAAAACATGAGGAAAAGATCAAAAGGATGAAATTGTCATATTAATTGTTCCTTTTTGAAGAATTGGAAATAAGTTTGTTGTTTTGAAACAGTTGTATGCATTAATTTGCTCCCTCTGTCCCCGAAGACATGTAGCAGAGTCCGCACCCCAATCCCTTTCCGCACCCCGACCCCCTTTTATTAGTATTGTGCTCTTTACACGGTAAGACCCTTTTATTGTAAAACTTTTCATTAGTTCAGATTCTTGTTTCCCACGTACTTGAACTGTACGACCCAACATGTGACTCTCCCCGTCCAATGTCCAAACTCATTAATCAAACTTTTATAGACCCGGCCAGATCAGGTGATGCCAGTACCTGCAGAGCAGGGAGGAGTAGGAGCTCCCTAGTGGCCCCTTTATAAACGATTGCCCGGAACCTTCGAGAGGCAGACGGAGACACTCACAGACATAGACACACAGAGGGAGCCTCGCAGGAGCCGGATAGGCCAGAGGAGCGCTTAGCTCAGATAGATAGACAGACAGACCAGAGGAGCGGTTTGCTCAACAAGTCTACTTATTTTACAACCCTAGATGCGAGAGCAGGATTTTGGTGTATCCCAATGTCTCCAGATGCTAGAAAAAAGAGCGCGTATTGCTCACACATTGGAGCTTACGAATTTTTGGTGATGCCTTACGGATTAAAGAACTCACCGAGTTTGTACATGCTCCTCATGGATCAGGTTTTAAGTGGCATGCAGAAGTTTGCCTTGGCTTACATTGATGATATATTGATCTACACTTCAGGTTCTATAGAAGATCATTTGATGCATGTTTCCAAAGTATTTGATCGCTTGAGGGAACATTCTGTAAAGCTGAAGTTAAACAAATGTCAGTTCTTGAAAACCGAAACCAGATATTTAGGCTTCGTTATAAACAGAGAAGGTTTGAAACCGGATGAGGATAAAGTCAAAGTTATCCGAGAATTACCTCATCCTACGAACGTCAGAGAAGTTAGAGGATTCATAGGGATGTGTGGTTATTATAGACGCTTCATTCCAAATTTTTCAAAGATAGCTGAACCCATTGTGAACCTTACCAAGAAATATGCCAGATTTAAATGGACTGATGATTGTCAAAGAGCATTCGATTATATCAAGGAAAGTTTAACCGTCGTTCCATTGCTAGCACATCCAGATGTTGACAAGGAGATGATTCTATATACGGACGCGTCAGACACTGCAATAGGAGCGTGTCTGGCCCAAACTTGCTCTGAAGAAGAAACACCCATAATCCCAGGAGTGAGGAATGAGAAACCAATATATTTCCTATCTCACAAACTAAGCAAAAGTCAACAAAAATGGTCGACAGTTGTAAAAGAAGCCTATGCCATCCATTATGCATTGCAGAAGCTTGATTACTATTTGCATAATGCAAGCATTATCATTAGAACAGACCATATGCCACTAAAGTATCTTCTTGAAGCACCATTACAAAATCGAAATATACAAACTTGGGCTCTGAATTTGCAAGGCTATAATGCTAGGATAGAGTACATAGCCGGTAGGGATAACACATGCGCTGATTTACTTTCTAGGATCCCACACAAAGAGGACACGAAAGAAGAAGAGGATAGTGAAACTGAGATTAACGACCATACTTGGGAAGTAAATATAATAAACTCTAATAGGATGGAAAAACAACAAGTAGAAAATGACGAAGTTGAATCTGAACAGTCGGAGGAACTACCTCAAGAGTTATTGGATTTTGATATGAAAGCAGAACAAGAGAAAGATGAAGAAGTACAACGAATAATCAAGGACTTGGCAGCTAACCAAGGAAAGAAAGTGATTAAAAACTTTATCGTATCACAAGATGATGGTCAGTTGTATTATATTTCCAACCAAGAGGACGAACCTAGATTGAGGAAGTACATCCCAAAACATCTACAAAGGGAAGTAATCAAACAATATCATGATTCTAATGGTCATATGGGACGAGACAAGGTCTATGATGCGATCAGACTACGCTATTATTTTCCTGATTTGTATAAGATAGTGTGTGAATATGTGGACTCTTGCGAGAAGTGCAGATTGAGGAACATGAAAGCTCTCAAATGTCCAATTCAAGAGACAGACATCCCACAATTTCCTATGCAGAAGATTAGTTTAGATATATCAGGTCCTCATCCAAGAACACTCTCCAGCAATGTGTACTTATTACATGTGGTGGATTGTTACAGTTTGTGGCCTGAAGTTTTTCCTATGCCAGATAAGTCCACAGACACGGTAGTTAGGTTGTTGTTACAAGAAATCATACCCAGATTTGCGTGCCCCACCGTTTTACTCACTGATAATGCGAAAGAATTCTGTAGCAGTAAGTTTGAAAAGGTCATGAAGGAGTTAAACATCAAACATATCACCACTTCCTTTTACAACCCCAGAGCCAATGGTAAAAATGAACGTCAACCACGAACACAGATGCTTGAAGCTGAAACCACTGCGAAACTACGCAATCCCCAAGAGCCCCGCTCTGGGAGGGCAAGGTGGTAGATCCTTCCCAGGCTACACACATTCCATCCCATGTATCCACTTCAATAGTTGACAAATAGTTTTCTATAAGGACACTTATGCTTGTATAATCAAAGTGTATCCTTTCCCAAAGTGAAGATTTAGAACCGTTGGTTAAAAACATCCTGGTCACGGCACCAGAATCACCTTGGCCACCCGCCACCCTCGACACAAAAGACTTGCAGAACCTGGGTAGTCAAACTTGGACAATTACATAGACAAATGTGTCACAGACAGAGGTTGGTCCGGGGATGAAGGCTGTGACGAGTCTGTTGTTATTGTATCTGATAGACTCTCGTCAGCCTCTGAGTTTTCACTGAAAACGGCGAAACCGCTGTTTTTGTCACTTTCGTCCTCTTCTCGTCTGCCTTCGTTATCGCTTGCCTGATTGTTCGGTTCGGGTTCTGGTCGTTGAGGTACTTCGTCTGGTTGGTCCGGTACGTTCTTCGGGTTATTTTCGTCGATGGCAAGGACAGTCGCTGTGGGATCTGTCTCTTTGACGCCATCTTGTGTGATGTCAGGAGACCCGATCTTCTCTTTTTTAGCTGGGTTTTGTGGCACCGGAGACGTCTCATTGGACTTGTCTTCCCTGGTGGCTTCAATGGCTCTTTTCTTTGAGTTTGAGGTTTTCCGGGGTGTGTCTCCCTTCCGTCTCTCCGGTCAGTCGGTTCCGGAGTCGGGTCGGTGTCGCCACTTGGGAGGGTCTCCTCATATAGGACGCTGAAAACATTTGGCGTAAAATAGTCTGATACAGGAAAGTTGTGTCGAGCTTTGGGCTGGTAGCCCTTGCTTCGACCAGCGACCCTCTGATAGCCGTCGGCGTCTTTTTGTGCGTCCGCTCTCAGGAGCGGCTCACATGTAGGGTTTGTAGCCCCGTTGAATGCTGGAATGTGGTCACCTGGGCCGGATGTTGACCATGCCGGTCCGGAGCATCTTGGTTCGCTCTGTCTCTGCGCTTTCTTTGGACAGGTACCAACCCAGTGGCCCACCTCGTCGCACACTGGACATGGAGTTTGTGTCCCGGGGATGATGATATGGATTCTGTAGCTCGGGATCCCTGGAGTATTGATCTGAGCATAGTGGGGGATCTGTTTCCCCTTCTCCGGGATGCACGTAGCTCTCCATTTTCTCTCCCTGCCTGTAATCGCGTTTACCTCCGGATTTTTATCTCCGGTGATCTCTTTTACGATGTCTCGGACCCCTTCTTTGTCTAAAGTTGGTGGGATCCAATTTAGTTCAAATACTGTCTTCTCCAAGTCTTGGAGGGAAGCCTGGATCACAAAGGTGTCAGTTGGATCTGAAAGGATTTTTCCGTGCATGTCATCCTTGACCTTTTGTGGACAGTGGTCCTCGAGATTGAAATACCATTTTAGTGGGGTATGGAGCCTATAAAGGTCTCGAAATGTGCCCTCTGGTACGCCTTTCGGGCCAGTAAGTAGATCCAAGAGGTAACCATACTTGGAAACCGTATGGGCTCCTGGTCCACGCACGGTCAACACATAGGTGTTGGGTCTGTGCAGATCTTGCTTCGAGTACCTTCCTGAGGTCACATCGACCATTGGAACGTAAGCCATTGTTGAGTTCAAATGAAGTTAAAAATAGTAAACTCAATACTTACAAATTGTTCTGAATGGTTTCAAATCGCACAGATTAATGTTAATAAGTTCAAGTTAATAAACTGCAAGTTAATAGTGTTAAATTTTATGACGAGGGAAAATCACGATTTCCAAAAAATTTCAATTACTCAGTTATTACAACAACCACCTCGTCTTCCTCATCCGAAGAATCTGACACACTGGAAACAGAACTGCCTTCACTTACGTCTCCAGACATATCAACTTCGCGACTGATATCGGCTGCAGTTTTATTCAGCTACCATGGATTATGATTTTGTGATCCACCACCGTTTTATAAAAATTCCTACTAACATTCGTTCTACCTCCTCCCCTTGAATATCTTGCCCCAAAAAGGCTTCTTCAGCTAGATTAATTAATCTGTCCCCAAATAGTTGGACCGTTTCTCCTCTCTCTCGTTTAATCTGACGGAGAATTGAAAAAGCATACTGTGGGTCAGTGATCTCAGCGTATTTACGCGCCAAGTCATTCTTGAATTCCGCCCAAGATTCGTCAGCTCTGTTTTCTAATTTTCTCCTAATGTGGTCCGAGACCGGACTCAAACTGGCCTGACTTCCTTCTCGTTATGCTGGCCGGTCCTCCTCCTCTTTTGGGGGGTCAGGGCATTCACTTATATTGGTGCCACTAGCTCGCTTCCAGAACCTTCCAGCAACATGTTTTGCCAGCTCTATTGCGTTTTCAACAAACAGGACTAGTAAAGATATTTCAAAAATGTTGACAACATTTTGTTTTTTCGGTGCTGGGAAGGAAAGTCGCGTGATGTCTAGCCAAACTGCTGGAAGTCTCTGGGGAGCTGAGGTCAAGGACACCATGTACTTTTAGTCGGTCACTAAGCTTAGTGAAAAGGATCCAAAAACCAAGGTGAAGGCCATGATGGGCCTGCTGTTTCAACAGCCCAACAATGGAACGCAATTTAGGTAGGGACTCTGTTACACTGCAACTTCTCGTTCTGTGCAGAATGCTATGCTGTTGCAGGAAGGCAATCCTGGTCTCTTTGTCTCGTACAGATGCAACTAATTGTAGAAAATTCATGGCGACTGCTGCAAACAAAGGTGAAGAATGACGAGGCAAAGACGAAGACTGCTACAACACGGTAAACACACGTTATAGTCAAGGGCGCGCTTTTGCGATGCACTCTAGACATGGGAAAAACCCCAACCTTAAAACCCTGGAAATAATTGGAATGTCTCACGTGACGTCGCTGGGTAATGTGACACAGCTGCCTCTTCTACTGCCTATGCTAATTCAACCCAGGTTCAATTGTATTTGTCACAAGGGTGGCTGATGATGATTACAGACGAGGAGAAAGATGGTCGTGTCGTTAGTGGTGATGATGATGATGATGATGATGCCTTGCTCACTGCATGCTTCTCATGTAATACTGAGGCTTACATACGAAACACTTAGGAAACACTTGTCCTTTGTTTTCCTTCACTGGTTTACTTTTATTGTGATAATTTAAAGAAATACAATCGTGAGTTCCTACACCTATTTCCTGATTAACTAGCTCTAGCGTGTAACTGCCACCGGCTCATAGTGTAGGTGGGGCTAAAAGATTTCTATCTTCTTCTTCTAAAATACACTGGTAGATCTCCAGGAAGTCCGGCCTACATGTAATCTATTGTGCTCCTGCTTCTTCTTCTTCTGACTCCGAATCAGTATCAGACCCCGAGTCAGTATCTACGCCTGAATCCGGCTGGACCCATTGTCGGTGAAAGTAGATGTCGAATTCTCTTACTGTAAAACGATATACACGAGCTATTCCGTCATCGTGTGTGAAAACTATTGTGACTTCTTGGAATGGGCCACGGTTCCTGACAGTAATTCTAATGGCAAACATCCATAACGTTCTTTTCTATATCTACCTAACTATACTATCAAATCCACCTGCCCTCAAGCCTGACTTCCTTCCCTGGTTTCTGGCCGGTGCTTGTCTTCTATCTTCTCCTCTCCCTCAAAGGTTCCGTTGTTTTGCAGATTCTGCAGCGACTAGCTGGCCGGGTCAGTGGAAAAATTTTAATTAATCATTGTTTGGTGTGAACGGGGAGGATCACGCAATGTCTAGAATGACGACTAGAAGTACGTGGGAAAGAAGAGTAGGGACCTAGGGGGGATATATTTGTTTGTTAAGAATAGTGGAAAAGTTCCAAAAAAAAAAGGGTGAAGGCCATAAGGGGTCTTGTCGTGCAAACAGCACAACACTAAAAGGCGGTATGAGTAATGACTTTGTTACAGTAAGTTAAAAATATTGTACCGCTTCTAGGAACGGGGATGGAAACTATCGACTTTGTGATCTTGTGATTCACTGCCGTTTATATTCAGCTACCATGTATTATGATCTTGTGATCCATCGCCGTTTTATTCAGCTACCATGGATTATGATCTTGTGATCCACCGCCGTTTTATTCAGCTACCATGGATTATGATCTTGTGATCCACCGCCGTTTTATTCAGCTACCATGGATTATGATCTTGTGATCCACCGCCGTTTTATTCAGCTACCATGGATTATGGTCTTGTGATCCACCACCATTTTATTCAGCTACCATGGATTATAATCTTGTAATCCACCGCCCGTTTTATTCAGCTACCATGGATTATGATCTTGTGATCCACCATTTTATTCAGCTACCATGGATTATGATCTTGTGATCCACCACCGTTTTATTCAGCTACCATGGATTATAATCTTGTGATCCACCGCCGTTTACTTTTATTTGTCTTGGTTGGATAAGATACTCCTCCACTGTGATGGCAGTCATGAAGTGGGCTTGATCTAATGAAACAGAATCTACGTTTGTCTTCTTCTTTTGTGTAATTCCACTGCGGTACCAGTGCAGTCATCTAGTGAGCATAACATACTTCTCCTGGGTTGATCTGGCAACTTAGGCACACAGTTTATAAGAAAAAATATCTCAACAAGGCTTGGTCAGGGAGGTGTGGTCCATTACTAATGATCTTCTTCTCCTTCTCCCTCTTCAGTGCTCTCCTCATCTGTGTCCACCCCCGAATCCTCCAGTCCGGGTTCCAGTGGGGGGTTGAACGATGACACTAAACTCGACTTGACTTAGTCGATATACTTGCTCTTGTCCTCTATCATCGATCATCGACTTAGTCGATATACTTGCTCTTGTCCTCTATCATCGATCATTACTATCATCAAATCATGCAATGTCCTGCGTCGCCTAATATGAATTTTGAGAGAAATCATTTACACTTTCTGGTAGTATAAAAGTTACTTTATTTAATTTTGAATATCACAAGAGCAAAATACAACCTTTGCTATTACACTAACAACTGTACGTAGAAAAAGGTATATAAACTCCGACCCTAACATTTGTCTATGGGCGTTAAGTCTCTTGCCCACTACTTCTATTCTACTCTGACCTGCCCTCTCTCTTGTTTCACTGGCCGGTGTCCTCTCCTCTTATGGGGTCCGGGCAGTCGCTTATATAGGTGCCACTAGCCTGCTTCTAGAAGTTCCCAGCAATGTGTTTTTCAAACCGCTACTGCGTTTCTAAAATATGGGTTTAGGATAATAATTCCAAAAATGTTGAAAATATTTTATTTTTGTGTACTTCAAGGGAGGGTCACATGATGTCTAGTCAAACTGTTGGTAGTCTCTAGAATCTCAGGCCAAGGACACCATATACTTTTAGTCTGTCACCAAGCTTAGTGCAAATATTCCAAAACAAGGGTGAAAGACTTGATAGTGTGACACAACAGTCTTCTGTAGAGTCGTAACCCAGGTCCGAATATGTTTTTGTGTCAAGGGTGGCGGGTGATTGTTGACAGACGAGGAGAAAGATGGTCGTGTTGTATAATAATGCTTGAACAACAAAGTATCCGTAAACAAGTGCCCAAGTTCTTTGAATTGCCTCCTTCTTTAATTTAAGTTTACATCAATGTCACAAAATATAGAAAAAAATCACACTATTTTCGGTTAACTCTAAAGCCTTATAAATTTGCGTTGTGTTCTTTAATTAAACTGTTTCTATTGTCTCAAACTGCCACCGGGCTGCTAGTGCAGGTTAACCTAACACATTATGAACTTCTTCTTCTTTGTTACATTGGGAAATCCCCAGGTGATCCGGCTCACATTGTATTGGTTGCAATACTCTAAGAAGTGTCACAAGATAAAACAAATCACATACTCTATGCACTAATTTCTTTTAACCACTGCCTAATCTATGGCCACATCTTCATCTGACTCTGAAGACGAGTCCACGCCAGAATCTGTATCGAGAGATACTCGGTGGAAATAAATATCAGTTTCCCGTACTAAATATCGGTACAGCCGAGCCATTCCATCGTCATTTGTTAGGACGATGGTAATCTCTTGGAATGGGATATAGCTTCTAACAGTAATTCGGATTGAATACATGTATACCTTTTTTTTTTTGAAACTGACCGGTACTTCGCTCTACTATTCGTCTGTCTCTATGTCTAGCCTGTCCTCTGTTGTCCTCTGTTATCCTCTTTCTTCTGCAACTGCTCAACTATCCTCTGTTGTTCGTCTCGTGTTCGTCTGTCCTGACTGTGCGCGCGTAGCCTGAGTCTGTGAGCTCCAATCCTCGACTGTCTGAGCCTGAATCTAAGTCTATCTATCTGTCTATCTATCTGAGCAAACCGCTCCCGAAGATCCCGGGCAATCGCTTATAAAGGGGCCACTAGGGGACTCCTACCCCTCCTTGTTTTGCAGCTACTGGCATCACCTGATCTGGCCGGGACAAGTATTTGATTAATGAGTTTAGAACTTGGACGGGGAGAGTCACATGTCAGATCATGCGATTCACAGTACGTGGGAAACAAGAGTATGGACTAATGAAAAGTTTTACAATAAGGGTGAAAGCCACAAGGGTCATACCGTGCAAACAATGCAATACTAATAAAAAGGGGGTCGGGGTGCGGAAAGAGGTTGGGGTGCGGACTCTGCTACAATCGCGTTGGGTTCTTTTATCACTAATCACTTTGTAGATTAGATCTAGAGTCTTTAACTGCCACCGGGCTACTAGTGCAGGTTAACCTAACACATTTTTAACTTCTTCTTCTTTATTACATCGGGAAATCCCCAGGTGATCCGGCTCACATGTTGTTTATTGGGCCCCTGCTACTCCTTGTTCAGGTTCCGAATCTGTATCCGACCCCGAGTCCATATCAAATCCTGAATCCGACTGGAACAAGGGGTACTGATGAGGATGGTGATAAAGATCAAACTCCCTTACCACAAAGCGGTAGACAGCAGTGGATCTATCGTCGTTGGTAAAAACAATTGTGACTATTCGATAGGGGCCACTGTACCTAACAACAACTGAGATTGCATACATTAGAAAGGTCCATTTCTATTTCTACCTAACTAAACTATCTAAACCAACTTTCTTTCCTGTTTTAGTGGCCGGAGCTTGTCTTCTCTGCCTCCTTCTTCTTCTTCTTTCGTTCGCCTGGCGTGTATGCGTGGCATCCTGATTGCTGTGGTGCGCCTCTTGGCTGGTTGCCTCCGACTTCAGCACCTTGTTTTGCTAGGGTAGACTGTGATCATACTCGAGGAGAGTAGGCTCATCCATTTGTCTTTCGCCTTTACCTCGTTTGTTGTCCCATCCAGTTTCCCGCTGGGGGTTGAGACCCCAACCTTCAACTGGATTGCTGGGAAGAACAGGGTCCACCACGTGAAGGTGAGGTAGGCTTGAGCAAGAGAGGCTAATAGACATTAAGAGTCTTGTATTGCGCATCATTGCTCCATTAGGACCCCTCTGCCTCCTTCTACCTCCGTGTGTCTATCCGAATCTGTAAGTCTGTCTATCTGTGTGCGTGAGCTCCAATCCCCGACTGTCCGAGCCTGAATCTAAGTCTATCTATCTGAGCTAACCGCTGCCGAAGACCCCGGGCAATCGCTTATAAAGGGGCCACTAGCTGCTCCCAGGGGGCTCCTACCCCTCCTTGTTTTGCAGCTACTGCCATCACCTGAGCTGGCCGGGACATCAGTATTTTAGCTAATGGCTTTGGTGTTGACAGGGAGAGTCATATGTCTGATCATGCGATTCATAGTACGTGGGAAACAAGAGTATGGACCACCTAGGGGATGTAGTTGCTTACTAATGGAAAGTTTTACAATAAGGGTGAAGGCCACAAGGGTCTTACCGTGCAAACAGCACAATACTAATAAAAGGGGGTTGGGATGCGGACCCTGTTACACCTGTTACACATGGATTATGATCCTGTGATCCACCGCCGTTTTATTCAGCTACCATGGATTGTGATCCACCACCGTTTTGTTCAGCTACCATGGATTATGATCTTGTAATCCATCGCCGTTTTATTCAGCTACCATGGATTATGATCTTGTAATCCATTGCCGTTTTATTCAGCTATCATGGATTACCGGCAAAGCGGGTGCAGACAGGCAATAAACTAGATCCCGCTATGACTAGGAGTCAGGTTGCAGCCGGGCAGCGTGTTGGCTCACGGGTAAAATTAATAGGCGGTAGACCAGAGAGTAATGTGACTATACGCAACAGATCTGTTAGGTGTATTTTAGACACAGGTTCACAGGTGTCGACCATCTCTGAAACATGCTTTAAAGAACTGTTTAGCGGAGTCCCGTTAGAAGTAGAGAACTTTGTCAAGTTAACTGCAGCTAATGGTACCAACATTCCATATTTAGGCTACCTGATCTGTAATGTAAAAATAGGTTATGATAATAGATTATGATCTTGTGATCCACCGCCGTTTTATTCAGCTACCATGGATTATGATCTTGTGATCCACCGCCGTTTTATTCAGCTACCATGGATTATGATCTTGTGATCCACCGCCGTTTTATTCAGCTACCATGGATTATGATCTTGTGATCCACCGCCGTTTTATTCAGCTACCATGGATTATGATCTTGTGATCCACCGCCGTTTTATTCAGCTACCATGGATTATAATCTTGTGATCCACCACCGTTTTATTCAGCTACCATGGATTATGATCTTGTGATCCACCACCGTTTTATTCAGCTACCATGGATTATAATCTTGTGATCCACCACCGTTTACTTTTATTTGTCTTGGTTGGATAAGATACTCCTCCACTGTGATGGCAGTCATGAAGTGGGCTTGATCTAATGAAACAGAATCCACGTTTGTCTTCTTCTTTCGTGTAATTCCACTGCGGTACCAGTGCAGTCATCTAGTGAGCATAACGCACTTCTCCTGGGTTGATCTGGCAACTTAGGCACACAGTTTATAAGAAAAAATATCTCAACAAGGCTTGGTCAGGGAGGTGTGGTCCATTACTAATGATCTTCTTCTCCTTCTCCCTCTTCAGTGCTCTCCTCATCTGTGCCCACCCCCGAATCCTCAAGTCCGGGTTCCAGTGGGGGTTGAATGATGACACTAAACTCGACTCGACTTAGTCGATATACTTGCTCTTGTCCTCTATCATCGATCATTACTATCATCAAATCATGCAATGTCCTTCGTTGCCTAATATGAATTTTGAGAGAAATCATTTAAACTTTCTGGTAGTATAAAAGTTACTTTATTTAATTTTGAATCCCACAAGAGCGAAATGCAACCTTTGCTATTACACTAACAACTGTACGTAGAAATAGGTATATAAACTCGGACTCTAACGTTTGTCTATGGGCGTTAAGTCTCTTGCCCACTACTTCTATTCTACTCTGACCTGCCCTCTCTCTTGTTTCACTGGCCGGTGTCCTCTCCTCTTATGGGGTCCGGGCAGTCGCTTATATAGGTGCCACTAGCCTGCTTCTAGAAGTTCCCAGCAATGTGTTTTTCAGACCACTTCTGTGTTTCTAAAATATGGGTTTAGGATAATAATTCCAAAAATGTTGACAACATTTTATTTTTGTGTACTTTAAGGGAGGGTCACATGATGTTTAGCCAAACTGTTGGTAGTCTCTAGAATCTCTGGCCAAGGACACCATATACTTTTAGTCTGTCACCAAGCTTAGTGCAAATATTCCAAAACAAGGGTGAAGGACATGATAGGGCGTGTTGTTTTGATCGCCCAACAATGAAACGCAATTTGGGTAGGGACTCTGTTACGCTAAAGAGTTTTCATTTTTCAAATTAAGCAGGGACTCTCAGTGGAACCTGGCCTCTGCAGTGTTTTATTTTATTGCTGTGCTCCGGCTTCTCCTTCTTCCTCACCAGCTTTCCTAACTTTGAAGTAAATCGGAATGAGAATATTAACACTGATTCAAACTCTAACATTTTAAACTATAATTCCTGATTAGCCTGCCCACTACTTCCACACCAGTCAGGCCTGACTTCCTTCTCGCTATGCTGGCCGGTGTCCTCCTCTTCTCTCCTTGAGGGGTCCGAGCATTCGCCTAAATAGGTGCCACTAGCTCACTTTCAGAACCTTCCAGCAACATGTTTTGCTAGCTCTATTGCGTTTTCAACAGACAGGACTAGTAAAGGTATTTCAAAAATGTTGACATTTTGTTTTTTTGGTGCTGGGAGGGAAAGTCACGTGATGTCTAGCCAAACTGCTGGAAGTTTGGGAGGAGCTGAAGCCAAGGACACCATGTACTTAGTCAGTCACTAAGCTTAGTGAAAAGGTTCCAAAAACAAGGGTGAAGGCCATGATGGGCCTGTTGTTTCAACAGCCCAACAATGAAACGCAATTTAGGTAGGGACTCTGTTACAACATCTTGTAATACAATCCTACTTATCCGAGGAATCTTCTCTGGCAACACTGCTCACTAATTAAAAGCTACACGTAGATAAGCCCCTCCACCGATGAAGCCTTCTAGACATCTCTGTTCGTCCGTCCGTATGACCTCCTTTTTATCAAGCCTGCCGTAGGAGGTTAGAATGGTGGTTGGCCATCCTTCCTTCCTTGTAACTGCTAGAACTCCTATTCTCTGGTCCTGTCTTTCACCATCATACTACAGGCTTGTCAAGCCCAGCTTCCTGTGTGACCGTACTGGGTGGTCAGCCTCCAGCCTACATCCACTGTGCACGACTGCCGCTAACTTCTCACTCTCCTTCTGTTAATATTTTGCAGGGGCGAGCATGTCACATGCTCTGTTCCTAAACATCTCATTAGGTAACTTTGATGGAAATCTCCTTTGCCCCCAAGTTTAACATAATAAATAATTATCCAGGTGTTATTGGGAAATTGTCAATCTAATTTGGTCTACGTGACATTCCAAACATTCTCCGCCGGCTGGCATCTAGCCCTATCAGTCCGTGAGGATCGTTTTGTTTGTGACTTTAATTTAGCGGCGTAATTCGCCAGCTCGATTTGAGACCCTAGTACGTGGTGGTCTTGGATAGAACCTTCGAGCTGTGTGCCCAGTGGGGAAGGGTCGAATCTCTGATGGGTTTCAACTGCTTTGCCTGCACCTATTTCTCGGCAGTGGGGACGTTACTCTGAAACACGTTATACTCTGTAACAGTAGTTCTACAATTTTAAAATATGAACTAAAATATATACCACTTATTATTCTGCAAGTTGAATAATCAAAATCTATATATTTAGGTTCTACATTTGTGTCAACAGTTATTATACTTTAATTTTTTTGTAATACTTTTTTAGTCTCTAGCATCAATAGTATTTTCAGTAAATATTTTAATAGATGTTGATGATATACCTATGTTGATATTGAATTATAACATTATGATACACCACCGTTTTATTCAGCTACCATTTGATGCTAGTCTCTAGCATCAATAGTATTTTCAGTAAATATTTTAATAGATGTTGATGATATACTTTCTGAAAATTCACTAATCGAAACAACTCTTTTATTATTAATTTTAGAAAGCCCATGTGATAATTTTTGTAAATTTTCAAGATTTTAAAAAATACCACCATCAATTCAATAAAATAATCTCCTAATGCATAGCATAATAATTTCATAAGTGTTGATTTACCTGCACATGTACCACCAACAAAAAAACCATATCATTGCTTTATTTTCTCCAATAATCGTTGATCCACCGTTTTATTCAGCTGCCGTTTGAATTATAACATGATACACCACCGTTTTATTCATCTGCCGTTTGAATTATAACATTATGATACACCACCGTTTTATTCAGCTGCCGTTTGAGTTATAACATTATGATACACCACCGTTTTATTCAGCTACCATTTGATGCTAGTCTCTAGCATCAATAGTATTTTCAGTAAATATTTTAATAGATGTTGATGATATACTTTCTGATAATTCACTAATCGAAACAACTCTTTTATTATTAATTTTAGAAAGCCCATGTGATAATTTTTGTAAATTTTCAAGATTTAAAAAAATACCACCATCAATTCAATCGAATAATCGGCTCTCCTGTCAAATTTGGCCGGTAAGCTGGACTGCTTCGGCTGGCTTAGCGGGGCTTAGTGGGAGTTATGTCCCTTGGCCAAACTCAAAACAACTCAAAACAAGTCGCGGAAAAAGTCACGAAACAAATGACATACCTATCATCATCCGGGTGCGTGTAGGGTTGCGTAGGGTGTCTATCATCATCCTACGGTTGCGTGTAGGGCTGCTTATTGCGTGTAGAGTTGGTTGTTTGCGTAAGATAGATGAGGGTTAGGGTTAGGTTTAGGGTTTGGGTTTAGGTTTAGGGGTTAGGGTTTAGGGGTATGGTTCAATTTGAAAATTTTCACGTAGGAGGTCGAAATAGTGGCCGACAATCTGACGTTTGTGGGAGTGGCGCCACTGACACTCTGTCAAATATGACGCCACTAGTGGGCGGCTGGTGCCCAGTCGCTGGCGAGTTGATCGTTTCACCAACATCCACAGGCCCTTGATTGTTTGTGTGTTTATGTGACTGTGCGCGACGTCGAGACAACGCCAACTGTATCTATCGAGGCGCTAG